ATGAGTGTGTCTGAACATTTCATTGTTATGAAACTGAACACGCTGTCAATGCAGGGGTCAAACTCTGCTTGGGCTTATGCAACTGACTCTGTGTTTATTATCATACATACAATCATTTAGCAGGCAAGATTTCTGTGCTTCAGTAGCTTGAAAAATCTGACATGGTTACAGTAAAAGAGTCTCTCTTTCCTACAAACCATTGTTTTGTTATTTTTAGGTTACATGTAAATAGTGAATCTGCATCACGTTGTAACACAAATTTAATATTGTCAAAGCCAAATGCAATAGGAGTCTGGAAATGTGGAAATAATACATCCACAAACACAAACCTTAGCATGTATTTTAAATTCAATCATAACAATGATTTTGCCAACACAATAGTTTTTGACCTTTCAAGTCTAAAAATAGCAGATAAATTGGCTATTTTCTATAACTGCCATTGACCCTGAATAGACAGGGTAAGTAACCTGATAGCATAACGATTGACCTGTTAGCTATCACATGGCTCATCTGTCGCAGGCTGCAGCTAAAGTCCAATGTCTTCCGCTGTACTTTGCTCAATGTCCATAATGATAAGAGGGCGCCGGCCAGCGTATCAGCTCTGAGTGATAAGGGCTCCGTGGAGTGTTTACTCTACGGGATTGGTCCAGACTGAGCTCATAGAGAGAACTCTTTAAACACATTGACAGGCGGAGCTGGCAAGTCAGCCCCATCAGACCATATTCCCAACCACCTTTAGAGCCCCTGGGGCCCTTCTTCTGACAGGCCTGCCAGCACTCAGACCACAGGATGGGTGGATTAAACATTAACCTGTGTCTGCCTTTTCATACACACACATGCACACACATGCACACACACTGAATGATCATACAAACTTGAGGAAAGAGCTGCGTGTCATGTTGACTAAAATTGCATCGAAAACGTCAAGTTTTTGGATGAGAAAGGTAGGGCAGCAGCATTTTATTTACCTAAGTTGTGATTGGGTTTTCACATTCTATAAACTATACTTATCAACTTTGTATTTAAAAAGCAAATAGTAAAGACTGGAGGCAGTACTGCAGACAGACAGTTAGTATGCACACAGCTTATCCCTCCTCTGTCGCCTCTCTTTGCCAAGGTATGTTCTCCCGTACTTGGAAGGACTACTGTGATTTCAATAATGTTTATTTTCCACGCCTTGTTGAGACAAGCCCATACACTCATACAGCCCATACATTCATGTCTTAGTGTTCTGCCAGCTTTATCTGTGCTTTCTTGCCATCAAACTCTCTGCCGAGCATTGTCCTTATCATTTGATGGATTTGGAAAGCATATAAAGCTTTATTGGTTTCCTAAGAGACAAAAGTTCGTCATGGAGGCTGTGTTATAAAACTGGAGCAGATAGCATGAAAATGCTTGGTGAGTTATAACTTCTGAGAGTGTGTTGCTCAAAGGTGTAGGGGATTTAAAGATCATTTTCTTGAAGATCTCAGACGGCTGTGTAAACTAGCCTCACGCTGTTCTGTGTCCTTGCCTGTTGAGAGTGTAGGAGGCCGTCTGCGTTCAGAGCCTGTTTTTCTGCCTCAGCTTAAGAGCAGCTTCACGGCCTGTCTGTCTAATATGGGTCTTCACTGCGATGGATGATCAAAACATGGGGGGGCTGGGTGCACATGCTTAGCAACTGTGCAGAAATCCATCGGACAGTATGGATTATTTATGACCCACTCCTACATCCGGCCATGTGATTACTAGACTTGCTAATGTTCAAGTTCTAAAATGGGGTTTATTGATTTTGATGATGAGATATTCATTTCTAATCGTTCTATGTTTTCTTTACGTGCCCGCCCTTTGCCGCCGATTTCAAAGCGTGATCCGTGTGTCGGCATTGCAGTGGCATTGTCATGACGACCTTGGTTAGTAGTCTTTTGTCATTGTAACCCCCCGCTCACCCCCTTTTGGGCCCTAACTCCCGCCCCAAACGGCACAAACACGTATGACCTTGCCCATCTTCCTCTCAGTGTGTGAGCAGGGTTGGTTGAGTGAACACAACAGAGGTCTTGACCTTAAAAACAAAGGCTTGCTGTTACCGTAGGAACTGTTGTTTTCTTCTCTCTCTATCTCACTAGCTCACTCTGTCTCTCTGATAAAGACCTTGTACTATAGCTAAACAGGCATTCCTCTCCAGAGTGTCTCTGCCTCAATCCACAAGACCTCCGCAGACTGCAGCTAAGCAGATCTCTGTGTTTACTTTGTCTTTTTGTATGTTGGTGGCAAAACAACTTTGTACACTTTATAGCTGCTGGTAGGGGGTCATGAGTTCAGGAAAGGACTTGTGTCGTATGTTATTCGAATAGCAAGGCATGCATGCAGTTTGTGTTTTTGTAAGTCCAAATGTATCTCTTACCACTTGATCATACCGTTCCCTATGCAAATGGGGGTTAGGCAGACTGTAGCCAAGAAGCTTCTGTATTGTACTCTTGCAGCTGGGTTATGATGAGACAGTGCTGAATGAAGTGAGTGTACGTAACAGGATGTCCTCTAAGGGAAGTCCTGAGGGTCAGGAGCTAGAGGCTGAATGCTAAAGAGGTTTGCTTTAGAGCTAACACTGCCTCCATTCAGAATTCAAAGTGTATTGAGGAGTGAGTAGCCCAGTAAAGCGGTCTGCTCACACCAGGCTCCTTTTCATGTAGTGTTTTTTAACCGGTGGGAATCTTCATGTTCTTTACATTATATTCAGTTTAGTTCCCCCAGGCTGTGATGCTTGACGATTGTGGTACCTTTCCATATTTCTGGACCCTGTTTTGAACATGGAGAGGATAACTGGTTAAAAAAATGCTGTCTTTACCACTTGCTCTGTTGTCTTTTCCAAAGGCTCCAGCCCTTAGACATTAACATGTCGCATTTTTTAAATTCTTGACCTCCATGTGTCAGAACATGCATACCAAGATACCATCCAGTTCCCTTTTTGATATATTGCAAAAGCTGAAAGTGTGCTAAAACATGTGTTTTCAGTTTAGCAGCAGCTACACTGACCACCTCTGCCATACAATAAACGACTACACTTAAATCGCTTCTGAACAACTCAGAGTTGTTTTAGACAATGTGCTCCAAAGGATGGCGCACCATTTATCCATCTCCATCAATGTTATACAATGTGATAGAATTTGAGCCAGGTCTTGTTGCTGTGCTGTTATATTTATTACATGTTCGTCTATGTTTTAGTAATTGGTCTTGTTTGGTTATGCTAGCCATCTGCTAACTCTGGAAGTAGTATGGACCTTTGAGGGTTCTTCCTCCTTCTTGAAGGGTTTAAATGTAAATGAGCTATACTTTCAACCATGCTTCAATATGATCTATACTTTATGTTGCTTCTTCATTGAATACCATTCACGTCTGTCTGTCATCAGATCGTTAAAATAGACTCAAGGGGAGCACTGACGGCAGAAACATTTTAAGCATGCACACGTCCTCTACTTTTAACAGCGTATAGCACATTGCACAGTGCTGGGTAAGTTAAGGTTAAACCAAAGGCAGTCATGTGCAGAGGTGTGGATTGGCTGAGAAAAACCAGCAGCTGCTCTCTGGTAGTGGAGGGCTATTGCGTCTCATACCGGCACCCCCCACCTATAACTCCCACCTCCCCCTTGTTTGATGTTCTTAGTGGGGCCTGATGGAAAGGGCTTACTGAAGATTGACCCAGTTTACATGCAGGTCTATGAAGTTCTTACGTGATGTAAGGTGCATTCCCTCTGCTAGTCTTGAGCTTAGCCAACATGATCCTCCCAGTTCCCCACCTTGCAATTCAGCAAAATCTCATAAATGTACCGCAGAAGCCGTTCAGTCATGTCTTCTAGCCTAGTGACCTACATTCATCCCTCCACATGTCCACGTGCGCTCACCCTCTGTCTGTCTGTCCTCTGTCTTTCTCTTTCTGCAGTACTGAAAGGTGAACAAGGATAAGGTTACTGTATTTGGAGTTAATAGCTCAGGAGCAGAGAGGCCTGTGTTTGGTTATAAGATACTCCGTGTCCTTCATCGCCCTACTGTCTGCTGATCCACTATATCGACGTGCAGCACATGTTAGCGTGGATGGCTGCGGGTTGCATCGGCACTATTCATTTATTGTATATGCTGTGTTGATTCACATTTGGGAAAAAAATACAATATTACTCTTTGGTGTTGATGATGGAAATCATGTCATTAGTTTTTAACCATGCTAGTGGCTCCAATTTATGGATGGCAATGGTCAGTTGGTCAACTGTTTTGATTTCAACTCAAATTGGGCCCACAGGATTTATCCTCACAACTTTGGTGGTCAACTTTTCAATTATCTAGTAAATGATCCCAACATCTATTCAATGGATTGGCAAAACAATTGGTAAAACCATTCATGGTTGCCAGATGATGTATCCTAATGGCCATTTACATCCCTCTTCCATTCCTCTATAGCATCTCATTTTTGTTTGTGGTTTTGACTGAAATGTCTATTGCCTTAACATATTGTATGGAAGTTCATGTCTCCCTCAGGATGAACTGTAATCACTTTTGGTTTTTATTTGTCCGATAATTCAAACTTTTGCCTTTACTTAAGTCTAGACTACCTGCATGTCACATGGCACATGCATTTTGTTTATCACTAGTTACCAAATGAGCATGCTAATACACAACACTATGATGGTAAACAATATCATGTTGATATTCTCATTGTTAGCATGGTAGTATGCAGACACCCAGTCTTTCATATCAACTCATTGACCTCTTTGTCTTCCCCCTCCACCCTCCCCTTGTCTCCAGTCTGATGAGTGAGAGTGCCGGCAGCCTGCTCCTCCACCGCGATGGTCGACATGGAGAGCCACTACCATCCCCCTTCCCCCCTGGAGGACTCGATGCTGGGCAGCCCTCTTTGCGCCGATGACGACTTCCTGGGCGGCATGGAGGAGCTCCAGGACATCTCCCAGTCCATGGACAACAACCCCCTCAGCTCCTTTGATGTCCCCGAGTACCAGTCCTCCAGCAATGGCTCTGAAGGTTCCACTGTTCTAGGTGAAGACTCATTATCATTTGAATTGAAGTGATTCCTTAAATTAATTAAAATAATATGGTTTTCTGACAATGTGGTGCTTGCTGCATTCAGGATTTGTACACAGTTCCAATGTGTCTGCTGCAGCTCATTGTAATCTCCTTGTGACTGTTGTTGTTGTCAGATCAGGGTTCCTCGTTAACCCCCCTTAATCCTCTATTTGCTCCAACTGAATCTTCAGAAAGGACCCACCCTTTGGTTAATTTAACCTCCTGCCCTGACCAAAAGCAAAGATGCCTTACAACCCTTTGACAGCCCTTTATTTTCACAGGTTTTCTTTAACGCCTAACCCTTTGGGCAATACCCCTTAGACCTAATTGTTTTCTCCTGTCTCTAAGGGTCTTGTGGCATTTTCCAACCCATTTTATGCTAATTTATTTCCTTATTTATTCTTTTATCCCTCTTCTTATGTTCTGTACTCCCCTGTTTTACCCCTGTGTCCTCTGCTGGCCTTTCTACTTGCCCCATATCCAATGAGGAATTCACACATTCCTCAGCAGCCATGCACCACCTCTCAGGAAACATCCGTTTTGCTGCTGTTTTTCTTCTTGAATAAAAGTCACATGGGCATCTGGGTAATGTATGCTGCTTCCAAATTATTCAACAAGTGGGGGAGAAGTGAAGAATCTAGAAAGCTGTACTGTACTGTACTGTACCCAATATACAAGCTGTTAATACACTTTTCAATCAATCAATCAAAGATAAACATTTAATAGGATAATAATGGGTGTGAGTGAGGGAGAAGGAAAGGGTGAGATGGCTAAAAGGCATCAGGGAAATGTGATGATGTCATGGAAAAGTCAGTGAAAACATGTTCAGGATTTATGGATGTTTAGGATTTCAGTGTGAGACAGGAACAGAACAACCACTGACATACCTTTCTTGTCAACACTCTGTTGAAACGTGCACCAGGCAGAAACACAGCTTCAGGTCTGCTGCCAAATTCAGCTGATCCCCTCTCTGGCTTCTCTGACCAACTCATGTGGCCTGACTTAGTGCCACTGTTTTTTTGTACCATTTCATCTTTGCTATTTTTGTAGCAAACAAGTTCTACCAACCATGTTCCCTTCACAAGGTGGAAAAAGAAAACTGTTGGCAACCTACGACCTGCCTTTCACGAGGAAGATCAGTAATACTACCCCACCACTGTATTGCCTGTGACAAGCTTCCAACCACAGATGGCTTGCTAATATCTCTGAGTAAATAGTTATTATGGAACAGACTGTCATTGCAAGAGGTCAAGCTGGAGTTTAAATTCCACTAGTTATTTGCAGAAGGGAGGTGAGACAGAGATGCATCTACTAAGGTAGTAGTAGTGGTGATTTATAATTTTACTTACATTTTCTCAATATGATGCAACTTTGTGTCTAATGTGGAAAAGATCAACATGTACCCTATGTACTGCAGGCTATAACAAAGTATGATAACGTTGTCAATTGTTGTACTTGTTGTAAGTATTACATTACTTTCACAACAACAATAATTTTGACATAGGAAAGGTAGGGGTGAGAGGGTTTCTCTGTCACATGAAGAAAATCTATGATCCATTTATAATGCACTCTAAACATACAATATGTTTCAAATCTTAAAGAAGTGAGGAATTTCAATGCTATAAAGAGCACTTCTCTCAGTTTCCCATACAAGTTACGCAAATATACAGTTCTTTCATTCTCTAAACACCTGATCATGATAATGATTATAGGTCTACAGCAACAATGGAACTTGTACCTTTTAAAGTCTGTGAGTGTTCCCACTTTCAAATGGCCAAACTAGTTGAGAAAGTCTGTGCACAAAAATGAGCCTTTCCTCTAAAACAAGCTCCAAGGTGCTTTTTTCCCTTCTGCCATGCACAGATTAGAAGAAAATATCTGTTTGTTGATTTCTCTGCCGAACTAAAAAACTATAAAAAATCTTAGATAATCATAATTTAGAGAATTAGCAATATTTAAAATGTATATGATTTGAAGTTCATTTATCACAGAGTGTTTCCGGCAGCACGAGAGTGTATGAGTTCAGTGGTTTAAGATTGTTTTGCTATTTAGAGTTAATTTAATCAGTTATTTCCTTTGTGTTTTGTAGATGCCCTGACGCCAGCATCCAGCCCGTCCTCCGTTGTTTACGGGGTGGCAGCGGGACAAGAGGATTTCTCATCGTCCTCCTCATCGCTCAATCTGGAGTGTCGGGTCTGTGCTGACCGAGCCTCGGGCTATCACTACGGAGTCCACGCCTGCGAGGGCTGCAAGGTGAGGCGGAATTACACACATGAATCACACAGCCAAACAAAGGATTCTGTGTTTGTATTTGACGTTAGACATTGATGAAAACCAGCCAAATGTTGGGTTTAGGGACTATTGGACTTAGTGTGGTTCAAAATTATTATTGTGAAGATTGAATCTTTGGGTCAGTCATCGTACATGCATCTGCCTTAACCTGTGCCTTTTATCTCCTACTGTGTATTACTTACATTACATGTTACTTGTTAGACGCTTTTATTCAATACTGTGGACAATCCCCACAGGAGCAATTTGGGGTGAAGTGTCTTGCCCAGGGACACAATGACATGCTGACTGCAGTGGGGTTTGAACGTGTGCTCCCCTGATCCGAACACCAACGCACGATTCCACTGCGCCACACGCCTCCCTTACTAATACTTTCCCTCCTTTGGTCAATATTTCTGTCAATATCCATCAATCGCTTCCTCCTAAAGTCACCCAAACTCAAGCACAGACAATTTCAAGACACTGAAGAGAGTAGGACATGTCAGACCAGAAATCCAGAGGCACTGTGTCTTGTGACTGATGATAACCCCTAAAGAACCACCAGGCTTGACCTTTACACGAGGTCGCTCAATAATCTTTCAGTTAATTGTTTACTAGCCATGTTGAAGAACAACCCAAGGTTGTTTTTTAAGAGGCAGCGAAGGACAAATATAGTCTAACTTGAGGTGTGTGTGCATGTAAACAGCTGTAAAACAATAGGTTATCACAAAAGTCAAGGTAAAGTTGTTCAGCTGATTCTACTTTAAGGAAGGAGTCATTTAAAGTGACCTATGTAGTACCAAATGGTTATTGTAACGCAGCTTCTGCAGAGATCTGCATATCTGTATGCAGCCTTATCACATTTAAAAGGCTACTACAGAATTGCACCACTCTTCCTTTTGTTATTGTTTTTAAGCCTCTATGCCAATGTTGACAGAGATGTTAGAGAAATGGCAGGTGATGGAGGGAGAGAGGAAAGAACATGCGATATAGAGTTGTCTGTAGTAGGGAAAATGTAATCACAGCTAATGGTATTTACTCTATGATTCAGGCCACTGTGATGTCCCAAAGCAACCTTTTGTATGCCAGGATTGTGTCCTCTCAAGCCCTCAGTATCCCGTAATTACATTACATGTCACTTGTTAGACACTTTTATCCAAAGCGACTTACATACTCAATGCTGTGGGTAATCCCCACAGGAGCAATTTGGGGTCAAGTGTCTTGCCCAGGGACACAACGACATGCTGACTGCAGCGGGGTTTGAACCTGTGACCTGCTAATCTGAACAACGCACAACCCACTACACCACACGCCCCTAATATGCTGCTGGGCCTTGAATTCTAGTTTTCGGCTGGTTGTTTACAACTCCTGAAGTTGAAAACATATCTGATGACCTTGACACCATGACAACACCTGCATTTACTAAGGGGTTTTGATTTGTGTGAGAAAATTACAGATTATTGGCACAAACTGATCCTTTTGATGAACTCTGATAACTTGGTTATATTTTTTTACTATATCAAAACAAAAGCAACATCATAGGTATAGAGAAAAAACATCAACATGTTTGTTGTAAATGAAACATGAGTTACTATAAAAAACAGCTAACCTGCTTCTTTTAACATCTTACATTATTACTCTTATTAGGTCTGATGCAGACCCAACCAACTTCAAAACACTTCAAACAATGTGACAGGTGAAGTTACCAGAATTTATCTAATTTTGTCCACAAATATGTAAAATATTCTTGTAAAAAAGGAATTCACATACACACACATGCACCCCTCTCTGGTGCATCATTTCCCCCCTGTTATTAGGTGTTGGAACCGTAATAGGAGGAGGCTGACCTCTGTGTTGTTAATACACCGATCCTTCATGACAGAGGACACAAGCCGTGTCGGCAGGACACCCATTTGGCCTGATCTTCATGTCACTCTTGTTTTATGAGTGTATATGTGTCTGTGCACGTGAGGTTGGAGGTCAGTGGGTGAGATTCACTCAGAGTTGCTTAATATGTGATCACAGGGTTTAAGCGAGCCCCACCAACAGCGCTGTGTCCCATTACCACATGGGTAATCTTGATGTTTTATGAGCATTTTTCTTCATACTGTGTGAGTGTGTGGGTATTTAGCACCCTGGGTGATACTTTGGATACAATTGCAAATGAGTATGAATAAATATGTTATTAAGCAATTCCTCAGACCATTTTCTACCCTCTAGCCAACTGCACACATGCCACTACAGTAAGTCCATCTGTTCCTCACCAACGTTTAATATTTCTTTTTTTCAAGGTTGTGTAAGTGTGGCCAAACTGATGGTGAAACTCTGTGTCTGATATTGTCATATTGATACGGAAATAAGAAAACTCCTTTGAACTGGTTTCAAAACAGCAGCGGTTATTAAAAGGCAATTTACTTGTCCGTGTTATATTTAAGGTTGTATTAGCTTTCTTTTCAAACAATTTGTCACTTATTGTCTGACTAATCTGGTCTGTGGTGTTCATGTCTCATTTGGGCATATGGAAATGATTGTATCGAATTACATTTTTGCTCCATGTGTCCAATTTAAAAAAAAAAAAAAAAAAAAAAGGTTTTCCCCTCATTCCTTCAGGGTTTTTTTCGGCGGACCATCCGTCTGAAGCTGGAGTATGACAAGTGTGAGCGCCGCTGCAAAATCCAAAAGAAGAACCGCAACAAGTGCCAATACTGCCGCTTCCAGAAGTGCCTGTCGGTGGGCATGTCCCACAACGGTGAGTCCGACAGAGTGGGTCTGGGTCTGTTTGAAGACCAACACACACACACACACACACACACACACACACACACACACACACACACACACACACACACACACACACACACACACACACACACACACACACACACACACACACACACACACACACACACACACACAAATTAATGTTTTTAACTAGTAAACACACAGGGCAGTGCAGATGCCAGGAAAGATTGAACAGGCAAGAACACACATAATTAGCGCAAATAAGAAATCTAGCACCGCAGTTGAGTGTCAGGTTGCATGTTAAGGCAAACCTCCAACTGAAGACTAATCCAGGCTATAAGGGAGCTCCTTCAGAAAAATGTACTAATTCAAACAATTGGACCATCTGTATTTTCCTACTTTGGGAAGGACTTTTTATATAATAACTTTATTCCTAACATTGCAACATTTACAAAAAAAACTATTAAGAACTTACTTTTAAAATCTCAGTTGTCTTCCCCCTTAGAGTGAACGTAATACTGTAGTAATTCAAAAACGTATCATATCATTTGTGGTTATTATCCAGCTACAGTCTGTGTTTCAATCTTGAATGTTTTAGAGAAAACACCTGCACATGCAACATATAAAATCAGCCTTACATAAGCCATACATTATTCTATTGGTGCGGCTCATGTTTTCTAGGAATACAGTAATAGTGAGGTCAAAGTTTGAGATCCTGGTGAAGGTTGTTTACTATTCCTACACATCCAACGTGGCATGCTGACCCTTGGTCAAGGTCCTGATCTGATTTTGGGGATTAGGCTACGTGTGTGAATCTCTGTTTGTGTGCTAGTGTATTTTTAGTAGAACGATCACCAAGGTCAATGCAATCGGTGGGTTTACTTATAACCTGTGCAAACTTGCAGATATTCCATACTGGTGTCAGTGAACGTGAGGAGCCAGCGTCTTCATTTTTGTCCCATGGGGTTATTGACTTGCTGTAAGAAGCTTCTTAAGGCATTGCCCAGATTCTGATGATAATACAATGTCTAAAAGTAGTAGTATTTCCGTCAGCTTCACCTCTGTTTAAGCTAAATGTGTATTGAGTTTCATTGATGTAAATGTACCCGCATAGGGCGGAAGGAGATTTGAGACCGGTGCAACCTGATCTTTTTGGGTCTGTTGACGCTTTTATCTTCAATTGACTGATTATTCAAATATATGTATGAGTATGTCACATTTTCATTTGTGAAATTGTTAAGAGGCAATCAACATTCTTGTACTGTGATTTCCACAAAATCTTTCTTGGTTTCAAGTTTAATACAACGCTTTATTTTTATAGAGACTGCTTATAAATGTTGTCCCTTTTTAATGCTGTTGCAACAGCAGTAAAGTGCTTTTATTATCACACTCCAGCACATGTATAAAGCCTCTGATCTCATGTACTGACAAGAAGCATTGCAATAAACACCATTGAATGTTGTGATAAAACAACAGCAATATACTTTAAGTCTTATAGTGGTGTAGCAGGTGTCTCCCTCCACATATGAGCCGTTGAAACAGATGATTTAATGGTATGACCAGGGTCGGCTCTAGAACAAATCGAATGGGGGGGAAATAATTTACCAAGGGGGGGCACACACTGCCGTCAACAACCAACACACAAACACCAACGCAACTTCAAAAAACATGCTGTAAAGTCTATTGTCTTTCACACACATTGCAGGGTGTGCTATTGTATAGCGCACCTATGACTTGTGCATACATGCACGGTTGTGGCACGACCACCAAAACAGAAACATATAAGGACATAGGCCACCATATAAAAAGGGTGCAAATGTATTTAGTATCCTATCCATGTGAACATGTTTTAGGTGGGTGTGGACCTAACCTGCTCTAGGAGGGTCTGGGGGCATGCTCCCCCGGGAAGATTATTTAAAAAATATTGAAGTTAAATGCATCAATCTGGTGCACTTTGAGAACAACATGAAGAGATCTATATAGATAGCCTACATCTCTCAGCATCCATATGAAACAGAACTGTACACAGATTTACTTTTTCTTTATGGATATTTTACTAATCACTCCCCCTTTAAACTGTATTCTTGTGTTACTGTCCTATAGTATTTCATACCCGTTTTTTATTTATTCTCTTATTCTTTAATAACTATAATGATCATATAAAGGTAGGCCTATTCCTCGCAAATACTTGTTTACATAAATGGTGACCAAACCGTTTGAGACCCACTGAGATAACTTACACCAAAGTTAACTATCTAAACACTGAGAGAGTCCTTACCTCACTGAGCTGAGGTTATACGATCCTCTCAGTCTGACAGGAGAGGACTCTCCTCCACCTTGGTGTAGAAACAGCTCTTTATATCCGTTAGCATAGCTAGCTAACCAGATGCTAACATCAACATTCCACGTTACCGCTTGCGCACTCACAAAATGCGCTTGTGCCACACACACACAGAGCCGAGCTTGAATGAAACACAGAGACCCAGAAGTAGGCTACTTGTACTGTACTGTATATCATATTATTTTCGATGGCTTTACTGTATAATCACTAATCAGTGTAACAGATGAACAGATCGCCACCGGGCTTTCATCTAAACCAGGGGTGCCCAACCAGTCGATCGCGATCGACCGGTCGATCGCGGGGAGATTCCCAGTCGATCGCGAGATGTGTCTAAAAATAGAACAACAACATTCTGTTTTATCGTTAATGTCCTATAACATAATCTTCCCGTGCCAGAATAATGCACTTGAACGCATCAAAGCTTTGTGATTGGCCGGCGTGACCCCATGTGTCGGGGCGTGGCTGGTGAGCAGTGGGCACTATTTCGCTGACTTTGTCCGTGTCAACAGGAGTGACAGTCACACAAGACCACAATTATGGCAGAAGCAAAAAAGCCCAAAATATATAATTTTCACTCCGAGTGGGAGGATGATTATTTGTGTATCTATTCCAATTCAAAGTCCATCTGTCTCATCTGCAATGCGAGCGTGGCTTTATCAAAGAAGGGTAATTTAGGAGCGGCATTTCAAAACAGTGCACAAACGCTACGAGACGGAATTCCCTCCTAATTCTGCCCAACGCTCCAAAAGGGGAGGGACCTGAAAGGACAGCTAAATGCACAGCAGTCCATTTTCACCAGGCTCAACAACAAGAGCAAGGCTGCTACCAGAGCATCTTATCGTGTCAGTCACGTTCTTGAGAAACACATGAAGTCTTTCAAAGACGGCGAAGTTGTGAAAGAAGCTTTCACAACTTCGCCTGGAGGCTGCCGACGCGCTTTTGGGGGACAGTAAAAATAACAGTAGCATTTCAACAGGTTTTTGATATAATAAAAACTCAAGTTAGATACCGTTATTAATCAGCTGTAAGTTTTTGTTTGTTTGAACTTATTCATTACAATTATTGTACAAAGTGGTATAAGAATGCAAACATTAAGATCTGTTCTGTTTAAATTGATTATAGTCTATTATCAATTCAGGTTAAGAAACTAGTGTTGCTTGCATCCTATTTTAAAGGCATTTATTTTTAAACTCTACTAAAATGCAACAAAAAAAGGATTTGATTCTATTAATTTTGTCTTTTTTATTGCACTTTGGCAGCAGATTCCTGTGTAGCTTCAGATCTGAGTTGTCTTATTAGTAAGCCTCATTTATACTTTTGTAGCAACACTATTTTTATATAATGGCAAAGAAAGGGTTCAGAGTCTTTTCTTTTTTCCCTGGGTAGCACTGTTCAATGTTTCTTGAAAATATTACCCACTGTAGTATGTGACGTGTGAATAAACTCCAACTCTGTATCAACAACACTGTTGTGTAACTTCAGTTAAATACTTGTATGTGTGTAGATTAGAAAGAGGTAAGATAAAGGATCTGCAGTATTTTATGAAGTATTCATCGTACAAAGGTCAGTTTTATACAAGTAGAAGTGTGTATTTACCTGGTAGTAGGTTGTCAGTAACTACGCCTCTATTTGGACTGGTAGATCTCCACAGACTGGCAACTTTAAAAGTAGCTCTCGGTTAAAAAAAGGTTGGGCACCCCTGATCTAAACACACAGCCACGTAATGATAACAAAACAAAGGTCGGGAGTCATTGGTGAAGCAACACACCAATCAGAGAGCAGCAGTGAGCACAGCTCAGGCTGTGTTTTATATTTGTATTCTTTATTTCTGACGTATTTCACACAAAAAACCTTTAGTGGAAACGTTTTCACTTATATGATTTTTTAAAAAACGGCAAAGTGGCTAGGCTTGCCCACCCTGCGTTGGGGGGGCACAGTGACTCATTTGTGGGGGCATGGCCCGCGAATGACCCCCCATGACGCCGACCCTGGGTATGACAGACTGTCCACCTCCCCACTCCAGTCACAGATTCATCCCCTTACACTAGATCTTAGCAAATGGACTTACTGTATGCTCAGCTTAACATCACTCACTTCCTCTCATCGTAATTAGACCTGGCTCCTGCCCAGGCTCTCACTGTGGAGCTTTACCAGCTTCAGATGATCCATCCACTTTGTGAGCAGTAATCTAATGGGCCATCAGTCTGTCTGCTAGCTCAGTAGCTCTTCCCCATTCAGGTCTGCACAGTTAGCTTAGTTTTGTCTCGATAGGGGGCGGCTCGTTCGGAAAACAAGGTGACTCAGATCCCCTTTTATGCCTTTATGATCTTCTGAATACAGGAAGAAGGTGCAGCTGGATGTTGGGTTCCTAAAGAGCGGTGTGTTTTCTGCGTACACTTCAGATTGTGCTCGTTAAATTGGTCGAGGAGGGGTTAAAAACAGTTCAGCTCTAATCTTATTAGTCAAATGGGATCAGGCCGTCTGAGAGATGCTGGCATCCTCTCGTAGAAAAACAACTCCTGTCTAGTGTTGAGGCCCACCATAGTACCATAGTAACCTGCTGTGTTCATAATTCCCTGGCTATAATGCATTAAAAAGAAAATGCATGAAAAATCCTACCAAAGCGTTGACACTGGTTAACCCTTTGAAGCAGAGATTTTCATCCCAAAAAAACGTTCATGTTTGTTGATGATAATTATAAAGGATAATAAATCTATTCTGATTGATTTGGACTTCATTTTGGTGTCTCTGTGTACTATTACAATAAAGAAATCCATATATTGTAGGGTTCCTATTGTCCCATCAAGTTCAACCTCTACAACTCACTTTATTCTAAAACACCTGGAAAATCCTTCAGCTTATGCTAGATTAATGTTCATGGACTTTAGCTCAGCTTTTAATACTATTCTTCCCCAAATGATGTTAAAAAAGCTCAAACAGATGGATGTGAACCCTTACTTAATCAGATGGTATCACTCCTTCCTAACTGAAAGACAGCAGCAGGTGAAAGTAAACTCGACCCTCTCTGACACACGGTCATAAGCACAGGGGCACCACAAGGCTGCGTTAGCTCTCCTCTTCTCTTCATACTCTACACAAATGAGTGTAGGAGTCAGCACACACACAACCACATCATAACGTTTTCTGATGACACAGCCATACTTAGTCTACTGACTAGAGACTCGGACATTTCTATTTATAAACTTGAGATCGAAGAGGTCGTGAAGTGGTGTGAGGCGCACAACCTGGTGTTAAATGTTAAAAAAACAAAGGAAATGATCTTTGACCCCAAGTCAGTAGGTGATCACAGCCCCGTCCTTATCAACAGGGAGGGAGTTGAGCAGGTTTCACGTTTTACATATTTGGGGATTTATTTTGATGCTCAGTTAGGCTGGGCCCATCAGGTGGATCAGGTATGCTCAAAGATAAGCCAGCGCCTGCATTTTCTGCGTCGGCTCAGGGTTCATGGAGTGGATAAATGCATCATGTTAATGTTCTACAGGGCAGCAATTGAGTCTATTATTCGTTATGGCATCACAACATGGTTTGGTAACTTGTCAGTTAAATCTAAATCACAACTCCAGAGCTTGATAAAAAGGGCTGGAAAAATAATTGGCGTGCTTCCACCATCCTCTCTTCAGGAGATATTTGAGGAGATGGTGAGAAAGCAAGGCCGTAAAATCACATGCGACCCCAAACACATCCTGTATAGAGAGTTTGAGTTGCTGCCCTCGGGGGCAGAAGGTATAGATTACCAAACTGTAAATTGAACAGGTATACGTTTTCCTTTATTCTGCTGTCAATCAAGCTGCTGAACAGTCAGAAACAATTGTGATTATGCTGTGTTAGGAGTTGTTGGGAGGTGCAATGTTTACAGTGTAGTTTGTGCAATCGAGAAGGTTAAATAGGGAAAGTGCAATATGTGTAAATAGGTATGGACACAATAGGGATATGTGCAATTTGACGGACACTATGCATAGGTGCAATAGGGAAAGTGCAATATTGATTTGTGTATGAATACAATAGGGAAAAGTGCAATATTTGATTTATGTATAAATACAATAGGGAAAAGTACAATATTTGATTATGTATGAATGCAATAGGGAAAGTGCTGTACCTGTATGTTTCTTGTTTGTTTCTTTGCCATGTGATATGTGATCTCTGTTCTGTATCTATGACTGATTGACCTGAATGTTTTATGTGTATTATCTCGATGCCCAAGACAAATTTCTCCTAAGGGAGACAATAAAGCTCTATCTTAACCGTGATGACTGAGTGAACCCCATTCTTTGGATTCATCATCATTTATTAGGATTCCCAGTTGCTCCAGCTGGAACCCAGAAAACTATTCATTTGACTTGATTAAAGTGAAATATGTGGACCTTGATTCTATCAGAATTGAAAATCAGCCAGAAAATCATGGATGCAGTGCACACGTTTTACAGGACAGAACTGACAGTTAGAAAAAATAGCAACCCAGAATATGGTGCTGGGTGGTTTTGGCCAGACTTTGGCACCATGGCTTTGCCAGGTGTTGTTTTTATTGCCCAGAGGACTCATGGAACTATTCTTGGATGCATTCACTGCCAGAGTGAGACTGAAACAGTCAGGTGATGTTTTGGTCGGGTCTGCTTGTCCTGGCCTTTTGGCCTCTCTGAGTGTGTAGGTGTAGTGCATACATCAAGTTTTTGATCAAGTTTGGTCTGTTCTTGCTCTTATACAGTCATTCTGTCTGTGTTTTTAAAATGTACTGTTTAAATGCATTTTTTGTGTTTTCAAATAACAAATAAACTTAAATCTGTAATCTGTAGTCTGACTTTCTGTCTGCTTTGTTTACAGCCATCCGTTTCGGTCGGATGCCGCAGTCAGAGAAGCTCAAGCTGAAAGCGGAGATGGTGACGGGGGACCGGGAGGTGCAGGACCCTCAGGTAGCCGACCAGAAGACCCTGGCCCGGCAGATCTACGAGGCCTACCTCAAGAACTTCAACATGAACAAGGCCAAGGCTCGAACAATTCTCACGGGCAAGACCAGCACCCCTGTACGTTGATTAAGAGTAGTGGGTTGGTGAGTGAAAGGTGTTGCATGTGTGGATCGCGTGTTCACGGCTCTTTACCAGAATTTCCTCACAGGTCGAGGTCGTCTTGTCTTGCAACTTTGAATTTATTTCATCCCCATTGGAGGGGTTTAAATCTAATTCTGAGCACATTCAAAATTTGCAATCAAACTCGTGTCTCAATATGACCTCAAAGATTATGATCAGCCAGCCAATGACAGAAATAGCTTGCTCAACATGTAGTTCAAGCCAATACAAGCTGGACGAGGAAACATCTGTATAAAGGGCCATCACTTCATCCTTCACTGCCTGGTTCCCTCCAAGGCGGCTCTCTATTCATCAACCATCACCCATCCTTAAACATTCCCGAAGCCTTGTTTCTTTCATTCTCTTTTTACGAGAAAAGAGGGGCTGACGGGGGGAGGGTCATGGAATGCAGCTCAGAGATTTTCTGAATTCTATGAATGGATGTGTGTAGGTGTGAATTAGGGAGGGAGGGACAGGTCAGTCCAAGGGCAGCTCCATGTTCAAACACAGACCTCGCTCACTGCTGCTGCAGATCAAAGCATCTAGATGGATAAGTGTCCTTTTTAGACTACAAAGGGATTCTGGGGTTTGCATCCATCAGAAAGCAGTCAGTTGCAAAGAGACACAGTGTTTGATCCACCCTTTGATTTGCGTGTTCATTCATGGTGTAACGGACCTTTTACACAACGTAGAACTCCCTATAAAGTGATATTGTACCATTTGCCACTACTACAGTATGTGTATAAATCCCAAAACATTTTGATTCTAAAATAGTTTTGAGCAGTATTACTTAAAGTTGTTGCATCGTGCAATATTTTAAGACTACATTAAGTTATTTTCTGACAATATACAATTGTTCCAACACCATCAAATGGTTAATAACTCTCATGCAAAATCCAACCTCAACTTATTTGCATCTTAACTGAGCCAGACGTTTTCAGGTTAGACTCATCGGTCTCATTGTGTGGGAGGAACGATGAGCTATAATTGTATCACTCTCAGCTTTGATTTGTGTGAATATCAGGTTTATTGTCTGACTTAACTGGTTTTACTGTGGTACGATCCATCTTAACATTACGTACTGTCTTTATGGATGTCTTAAGCTGCCAAAAAAATCAAGCGGCTACAAAAAGTGGTTACTTTCGCCCCAGGGTTACATTGTGCAATATCGACACGTTTTAGAAATGAAACGAGAGATTGACTGTTACCAATCAGGCTGCAACAGACGTTTACTTTTCATAATTGATTGACTTTCCAATCATCCTATTGAGTTCTTTGAGTAGGGCTAAATGGATCCATTTAGTTGTGTTGCAGCAGTTAGTCAGGTAAAGTGCTTTCAGTGTATCACCCGTGACCCCCTTTACAGAATAAACTGTATGAATATGTATAGAATATACTGACCTACAAACCCCTCTTGAGGTTGTGGCTACACAGTCAAGGAAAGTGATTTTGTCGTCATGGAAATCTTACGAGTCAACAAAGGCTGTGGGCTTTGTACCTTTCTCCACCAGTGACATAAAAACACCTGAGGCTTTGTTTATAATAAGATGTCAACTTCGGCAAGATCATATATCCTCAATAAAGTTAGTGAGAACAAAAAAGTGTTAAGTATATCCATTTAAAAAGTGATTTATTGTACAAGGTTGTTGTGTCATCTGTTACGAGTTATCTCATGATCCAGTGTTGCATTGACGTAGAAGTTCCCTAAAATTAAACTGCTGTGCTGGGTGTCATGTCGCTCATACCTTTCCTTGTTACACTATAGCCCAGATTTAGCCCTCCTGAGTCCAAGCACACATCCAATGTCATCTGATCCAGGTTTAGCTGCTCCTCATATGTTGTAACTGTCCACTGTTGGAAGACTGACGCAGCTAAAAAAGCAAAAGCATCATTGCTAGCCCGGTGCACATTAAAAACATTCCTGTGTACCTCTACAACATTATAATGATGACTAGACTTACGTTTCAAATATATTTCCTTCTTGTTTTTTACATATTTTTGAGTTTGCCCTTGCAAGCCCTTTTTGCTCTGACACCGTTGGACTTTCAAAACAGCTCTGCTCTCAAATGTCAAGAGATATGATTTGAAGCTAAGTCTTCCTTTGAGTGACGCATAATAATATAGCTGTTGGTTAAAGGAGAGTAATTATGTCATCGTGGAAATATTCGAGTGGCAATAATAGCTCTGGCTAATTGAGCCTCTCTTTTCTGCAAGGATTATGGGTAAACATACACTTTTTCATGTCGTTGAGGTTTGCTGACTCAGCTTTTTCCATATTTATGCAGTCACGTTTATGTATGTGATGTTTTCCAAAATAACAGTATAAACTGAACTGTGTGTTTGGCATTTGAACTGGAAACCCATTTTTAACCATACTCTATATGTTTAGGTCATAAAAGTTTCTCTTTTTTCTCCGCAGCCTTTTGTCATCCATGACATGGAGACCCTGCAGTTGGCAGAGCAGACGCTGGTGGCAAAGATGGTGGGCTCAGCGGGACCCCTGAAGGACAGGGAGGCAGAAGTTCGGATTTTCCACTGCTGCCAGTGCACCTCGGTAGAAACCGTCACCGAGCTCACAGAGTTTGCAAAGTCCGTCCCCGGGTTCTCGAGCCTGGACCTCAACGATCAGGTGACTCTTTTGAAATATGGAGTGTACGAGGCCCTCTTCGCCATGCTCGCCTCCAGCATGAACAAGGATGGGCTCCTGGTGGCGTACGGCTCAGGCTTCATCACCCGGGAATTCCTCAAGAGCTTGCGGCGGCCCTTCAGTGACATGATGGAGCCAAAGTTCCAGTTTGCAATGAAGTTTAACGCCATGGAGCTGGACGACAGTGACCTGGCTCTGTTTGTGGCTGCCATCATCTGCTGTGGAGGTAAAGATACAGGAACAATAACATTTACACATAAACAACTCCTTTGCTATTTGGGAAATTAGAAGTTATTTTTCCTTTGGCTCTTTTAGGACTTTTAATCAATCTCAAAGCAAATGCTTCTGTTATACACCCAAGGAATTCTGGTATAATCTTGCAATTGAATTTGTTTATTCCAACAGGAGATTATATTTAAATCGTCTCACTCGAGTTTGTTTTGCTTCCTCTGATCAGACCGCCCAGGCCTGGTGAACGTGACGCACATCGAGCGGATGCAGGAGAGCATTGTGCAGGTGCTTCAGCTCCATCTGCTGGCCAATCACCCCGACGATACTTTCCTCTTCCCCAAGATGCTGCAGAAACTGGCCGACCTCCGGCAGCTGGTCACTGAGCACGCTCAGCTGGTACAAGAGATTAAAAAGACAGAGGACACGTCCCTGCACCCGCTCCTGCAGGAGATCTACAGAGACATGTACTGAGGGGTTGTGGAGGAAGAATAACCAGGAGAGGCACTCTACAAATCATCTCCTTTTTTTCAGGGACAGAAGAAGAAGAGTCCTCCATAAGCCAGGTTGAACCACTTAAACCCCCATAATGCAGCAGGAGTAACCTTTGGATTCAAGACGCTGATTACATTACATGTTACTTGTTAGAGGCTTTTATCCAAAGTGACTTACCTACTCAATACTGTGGGCAATCCCCGCAGGAGCCATTTGGGGTGAAATGTCTTGCCCAGGGACACAACGACATGCTGACTGCAGTGGGGTTTGAACCTGTGCTCCGAACACCAACGCACTGCGCCACACGCCTCCCACTGATGATTCTCTTTGTTTGACAAAGTGCTCCTCGCTCCATTGTGTGGCGCTTCATTAGCAGAGAAGATGTGATGTACAGCTGATTGAGCCCCTATCTAGAAACCAGTGTATGCCATCTCTGACCAAACCCTCAATGCTGATTTGAAGTATTTGAGGTGATCTCCTTGGTTATCCCAATCCTAAACCCTTAACAAAGCCCTATAATGAGGAAAGAAAGTGAACTTGATAGTCACCACTCCAGCAGTATGCTTGAAATCAGATTTGTATACTGATGTCAAAGAGCCATATACCTTCACAGCTAACAACACCCAAATGACCTTATTGGGCAGCAACACTAAGGCAGTATCAACACAGTGTTCAAGCAAGGCAGCTTCTGCCAAATCGGATGTCAATAAAGGTTGGTGATGGTTATCCATGCACCTGCCCCCCACCATTACTCTTCACCTGTTTTATACCCAGATACACACATGTGATGCTCCTGAAAATAAGCATGTATTTGTACTGTAAGCCATACTGTGTTTGTAATGATACTGGAAATGTTTTGGAAATGCATATTCTTTTCACTTCCTCACAAGACTTGGTTTGGAACTTCATGACATATTACTCAAAATCCAGGCAAACTTATTTTTACACTTCAGATTAAGACAGCTAGTTATTTTTAAGAAATGTTGAAGTGTCTTCGATAATTCAACATGGCACTATTTTATACCAGACCTCTGATAAATGCCTTTCTTACAAAACACATGCACAGACATTTGGCATTGTTTTGTCTCCTGGTATTCAAGGGCTAACACCACGATAAACTGGGTTACAATCTTAGAACTGGCCAAAGAAACCACCTAAAAACAGATTTCATATAAATGTATTCATCTGATTTTTTATTTCTGAAGCAGTAAAGCCCCGTCCATCATTAATAATCGTATTGTTTTGTTTCTCTACTTCTCATTGTAGTCTTTCTGCCTTTCACTGGCTGTGTTTGGTCCTCATAACATGCAGTTGGTTAGGATGCACATGTTCTATATTATTGCAAAGAAAAAGCACTATACCTTTTTAATTGAAAGGTTTTGTTTAGCTCATGCAGTTTCTCTGGCAAACTGTAGGCAAGACAAACACAGGCATGTTGCCATCTGCACTTATTCAATTATGTAAGTAAGATAAATGGCTTGAAGATTAGACTTTCTTTTAGCAACACAGGTGATTGGTGAAGGATGAAGACCAAATACATTTCCAGAAGATGTTTTTTCTCTGGCGATGGCGATAACGGTGCATGTGAAGAGGCCAATCCTTTATGTTGTTGAAATATTGCCTTCGCTACATGCTACATAAAGACCTACAGTAATATATAAATGTAAATCTTATCTAAACAAAATCTACTAAAATCATGAAATTATTGAAATTCAATCACCAGAAATGGACCGTGTGCTTATAATTACATCACATTGTATAAACAGAGTGTATTGTACATAGCCGAAATGTTGTGCTCTCCCTGACTCATACAAGGTACTAATGATGATCAACTTTTGTATTCCTCCGTTTGGTAAATACTTTTAAATGTTTGAAATTTTACAGTTAATGTAGTTATGTACTGTATGTTTTTTTTGCTTAAATGCCACATACTTGTGTTTTAATTGAATTGGATCATATTTTTATACTAAAGTATATATGTATGACTAAATCAGATAATTATGTATTTGACGATTGACGAGTGCAGTGTAGATAGACTTAAAGGTAACAGGGCAACTGGTAATCTGAGTATACATAGATCTGAATCCCGTTGGGGACATTCCTTTTGTTAATTGCTATTTTTAGATATAGAAAACCATCAAAGCTGCAGTATGCATTCAGTTCATTTCAACTGTATTTCATTTATTTGTTGAATTAAGCTCTTATGATTTGAAGTGAAAGCATACGTGGGCTGTGCAGGGCTGTAATAGCTCACAGCAGTGGATTCAAACTTGACCTCCATGACCTTTTATCATTTGAAAAATCAAACTACAGCCCAGCACTGATCAGACAGTATTGGTCTCCTCTTTTTATACTGTGTTCTCAGGTTGCAAACTCTCATGTGTAATATATATTCACAGAAAGTTATCATCAGAAATCCTCCATAGTTGCCTCCTGTTGTTGAACAAACCATCTATTTGTTTTAACACATCACATCTCTGTGGATAGAGAATGCAGTCATAGTTTGCAACACATCACTGTTTAATAATCCTGTTTTTGTCCCACTTTTTGTCTGACTTTCCTCTCCTCCCTCGCTGCTATATTCTATTAACTCACCAAACATTTCTAATGCCATGAGTAGATTACTGACTTTTAAACTGCCTCTACTTACTTCGTATACCTTCTCACAGAATGTCAGTCCCATATGCAGAATTTATTCAATGCAGCTCGGTTTTTTTCCCTCGCAAGATTTTCGGGAATTGTAGTTCCCAGTAACACATTGGGATAAACCACAAACACTCTGTGCCTTAGCGTGTGCCAATGCCATGAAACACTAGAGATTCAGATAACACACACACTTTTACAGTGTTTATGTCATCAGCTACATGTAGAATGAATGCTTGGAACACAATAGAGCCACGCAGACAGGAAATTGTCACAGGAGATTAAGGAAAATATCCTACACAACTTCATTACAGTACAAAAAAAGGAGAAAAGCAAAATGGTTGAAACGCTAGAGCCCTAGAGGAAAAGTCGTGTAAATATTGATGTCTGCTTTCCCTTAGGAATGTTTATTTTGTGTTGAATTGACAAGGGACTTTTTTACTTGTATCAGGGAAACAGTCTTCCTTTGTTGAACTAGCACAGGACATAGAAAGAAACTGTTCTTCCTTCTCTATCTTTCTGAAAGGAGATCTTAGTGCTCCGCCTTACAGCACACAAACAAAAAACCCCAACAAATATTGATTGATAATGAAATGACCGTTAATTTTACTTTCAAAACCTGACAGAACAATTTACCAGAGGGCAGCAGTCATAGGAATTAGGTTTTTGATTTTTTTTCCCTTCCTGGATTTAATGGAGTTTGTTTTTGTGGCTATAGTGTCATGCAAAGAGACAACAGAGAGTGTCTTTGGATGTGTTGTTAATGTGTAATGTGGCTTGGTAAAAATGCTGTAAATGTTTGATGAATGTATATCTAGTCATTTAAATAATGGAACAAGTTGACATTGAATGGATTTTAAAATAAAATTATTTTTAAATCCACTACATTTGTTTGTTTGATTTGAAAAAGACAATAACAGTTTTTTGTTTTTTTTAAACGTTTTATTACATTCACCCTTTCCCCCTCTATATTAGGTTTACACAGTACCATTGTGAGCTGAACATTTCTAGAGTCAAAGGTACTTTATTTTCAAAACACTAGTTATATTTACACTTAACTATAAGCTGGTCACCTAGACCTGATGCAAGTTGCCTTCTTTTTGTGTACATTTAAACCTGCAACTATAATGTATTTTATTTGTAAAATTGAGTGAACAATAATGTGCACGTACTGCTTTTTGCTTTAATGTACAGTAGAAATTATTGAAAAAAATATGAAGGTAGGGTAAGGCACACTAGCCTGCTCCCAAAAGCTGTGGGGGCATTTTTGTAAATACATTTATGTTTAGGAATACCCAACACTAAAATTAAACTTAAACTACTACGAAAACTAGTTATACGGCGCCGGATTCATTTCAGAAGTGGGGGGGGGCAAAAAGTGCGTGTGTATGTGACATAGCCTACTTGCCAACCCTCCCGATTTTCGCGGGAGACTCCCGTTTTCCTCCCGGGGTCATATTTATCCCGCATTTCTCCCTATTTCTGACTAAATCTGATTTGTTTCATTCTAACATAACGCACCAAATGTTACTGTTTCCACTCGGACTTCAATACAGTTACACCATTGTTTGGTTTCCATGGTAACTTGTCTCTTTAGTATCGCGAGCAAATGAAAGTCTGAGAGGGTCTTCAGGAGGAAGATAGTCAGAGAAAACAGAACAATAATGGACAACTCAACCCTCTGCTCACTCCTTTCCTGTAAATTAAACTATACAGACCAGCCCACACATATGACAGCGCAGTTGCTCATTCCATCTCTTCCTTTTTCCTGCTACGCTCTTGTTTGACAAGCTGAATGTTGACTGGTGTTTGACTGAAGTAAGCTCTGTGAAAAGTTCCAGTTATTAACTCGGTATTTACAAAGCTGTCATCTCCACATTTGGAGAAAGTTACGAGCCGTTTGACAGCAGCACATCTGCATATTTCACAGAAGGCTCGTTTAGTGGTTTTGCAAATAATTAACCACTCTCTGTTTTTGTACCATTCTGCATTGAAGTACCTTTCTCTTTGCCCAAATAAGCTTTTATTTGCCCGTCACAATGTCCCGACAACAAACCTCCATGCAGTCGGAACCAGCCTGTTTCGGTTCAACGATGCCGGCGGCAGCGGTTTTGACAGCCTCTGCGGCCGCAGAGCTGCTGCTGGGGTTCATCTGGCTGCGCTGGTTCTATGGTTGAAGGACCAGGCTCCGGAGCTGGTTCTATGGTTGAAGGACCAGGCTCCGGAGTTGTGGATGTCAGGGATGTGACATTCAAGTTGTTGAATTTCAGCTTAGTTTGACTGTATTTTGTTTTCTTATGCGCCGGTTCTTCTGACATGTTTGCAAGTTTATCTATCTAGGTTAACAGCTGACACACACTGAACAACGTAACACATAACGTAAACAACGTAACAAATAAACACATCTAAGCTTTGTTATTGGTTGTAATGTACATGGATACATTTGAATGGTGTGACAATGTCCTATTTGATTGGATTAAAATGTACATATTCTTCCTGTTATGTCTGCCTGCTGTATTTTACCTAATGCAAAGTGACCTGCTGCTCCATCGAAATCAGTCGCATTGATCCGAAGACAGATTTTGAGTGGTAGCCTATAGCCTACACTGTTGGAAAGAGGAGATTCCTAGCTTTCTAATGATATCAGGATTGTTTTTGTACTATATTAAGCAAAATATGTCACATTATATAATGACTGTCACCGAGTCATCATTTTGAGAAAAAGGCCTTTAAAGTTTCCTCTTCTCTGGATCGATCTGATTGATTATTAGTGGAGCAAATGATCAATAGTACGGAGGGAAGATATTTTCGCTTGGATTACTGGTCTGGGGGAAGCTCGCGAGTGTGTGTGTGTGTTGGTGTATTGTTGCGTTTGTTTCCCGGGGAAAACTCTCAGGAGAAACACCGGCTGTTGTTATGCCTGCTGTGACGTCAAGTTACTCCGTTCTCCGCTTGTAATTATGCCGTTAAAAGCTTCAAAGCTGTATTTATCATCTGAATTTGCCGAAACAAGTTTAACATTCTGAAAGCCAAGACTTTGTTTATTTGAAATCAGATGAAAACAAACTGTAACGGACCCTGCGGTGTTATCTATGATTACTATATGCCTTACATTCATAATGTCAGCGGAGGGAGGGGAAGCGGCGCTGTGTAAGAGCAGAGTGGCGAGTGAGAGGCGATCTGTGTTCTTCCCTTTACAAGCTTAAACAATGCCTGTAGCTAATAAGATTGAATATAACAATCAAAAATAACAAAATATACACAGCTAGATCAGATGGCGTTCTTTTTAGATGCGACTTTAGAGTAGAGGGGAATTATTGAAACGGGATGTGTACAGTGTTCCGCGGCATCCGCTGCTGCGAAAATGTGGGGCAGGGCCGTAAAGTGGGGGGGCCAATGGCCCCCCCGCTTCCGGCGCCCTTGATACAAGATGCGAATATATTACATCTCTTTACATAATTTGTTTAGGTGGTGCTGACAATAGGCCTAAACGAACGAAGAAATGGATCATCTTTGCCCCTGGACCCCTTAGCTGCTTTTAGGCCCTTAGAGATCTGCCCCAGCCCAGATAATGCTTGGTTTTCATTTCACTGCATGCATACAGTATTTTAAGTACATGCATCCTTATGTTTTCATTGTGCTTCAGGACCCGTGCATTAGAGGCGCTATACTCAAAACAAACTCCTCGTGACTCTCAGCTCCTCCTCCGTGTTCTTGACACATTAGTCCAACATGGCAGCGTCCATGGCAGGAACCTGCCGTTATGTATCGCTGCATGGATCCTTTATTCTACAAAGGCGAACACGTCTTTACCTCACACTCAAATCTAAGTTTCACTGCACTTCTCCTGCACATAACGGGCTGCTATTTACTCTAAATAAACGCGGTATTCTGAAGAACTCTTTCCCAGAAGACGCAGCTCAGGACCGGCTTCCTCGGCTGCTCCAGTCCGGGGCTCAGACTGTGTACTGCGGCTTTGACCCCACGGCCGACAGCCTCCATGTGGGCAACTTGCTCGCTATCATCGGCCTGCTGCACTTCCGCAGCGCCGGGCACCATGTCCTCGCTGTGCTCGGAGGGGCCACGGCACAAATCGGAGACCCAAGCGGGAAAACGAGCGAGAGGGAGCGGATGTCTGCGGAGGTTGTGGAGGAGAACACCCGCAGCATACGGGAGAGTATCCAGAGGATTTTCACCAACCACGAAGTGCACTTTCAGGACAATTCCAAGAAGCTGGGCACGGTGAATGTATTAAATAACCTGCACTGGTACAAGGACTGGAGCGTGGTGGGCTTCTTGTCGGAGGCCGGGAGGCACCTCCGGATGGGCACCATGCTGAGTCGCCACAGCGTGCAGACCCGGCTGAAGAGCCCGGACGGGATGAGCCTCACGGAGTTCACCTACCAGATGTTCCAGGCTTATGACTTCCACCACCTCAACCAGATATACGGCTGCAAGATCCAGCTGGGGGGCTCCGACCAGCTGGGCAACTTGATGTCTGGACATGAGTACATTCACAAGTAAAGGGCCCTTTCTAATTAAATAATAGTAAAAGTTATTGCAATGTCTCTGCTTTGAGTGCTCAGAGTAGGGCTGGGTAATAGCAACATTGTCACGTTTTAGCGGTTACTATTGCTGCTTTTACAAAATATTTACACAATGATAATTTTTATAAATAATTAGTAATGTGGCTTTATTGCCCAAGTGGGTAAATAATAGTAAAGCTACTACAGCTATTACATTCATACAAATATTCACTGTAAAGCAGTCTTTAAACCAAGACAAATAAAACGCTTCTTCACAATATACAAAATCTAAGTCGATATCTGGGCTCATATTACTATATTTAATAATAATTATAATAATGCATTTTATTTATGGGCGCCTTTCAAAGCTCTCAAGGACACAGATCATAATTAAAAACAAGCAAACAGTAATTCAAGACTTAAAAAACAAAGACTTAAAAACAACAATCAGTTTAGAAGAATTAAGATATTGAATACGCCAGTTTAAAAAGGTGGGTTTTCAGCCAGGATTTGAAGGTTGAGAGTGAGTCCATATTGCGGATGTCTTGTGGGAGAGAGTTCCAGAGACGGGGGGCAGAGTGGCTGAAGGCTCTTGACCCCATGGTGGTCAGAAGGTACAGTGAGTTGGAAGGCAGAGGAGGATCGGAGGGCACGAGAGGGAGTGTAGATGTGAAGGAGTTCAGAGAGATATGGAGTTGCAAGAGTGTGAAGGGCCTTGAAGGTGAGGAGCAACATTTTAAAATCGATGCAGTATTTAACGGGGAGCCAATGAAGTTGTTGAAGAACCGGAGTGATATGATCAATGGAAGGAGTCTGGTAATGATATGGGCGGCTGCGTTTTGGACCAGTTGGTCCGAAATATTTATATAATATAGGTATATTGGCTAACCCTTGGTCAGGTCAGGAACTTATGAACCGAATGTCGTCTTTTGTTAATTAGAAACAATTTATGATTTCTAACTTCTGAACTAAATACAAATCTGTAAGATTAAATTTGGAGGCACTGAGCAGCTGGACAATTTCATGTAACATCTCACCAGGAAATCCTTTCTAACTATAGGCCAATGTTTTTGTCTTTGTTCGGCACAATTGATCACATTTTGAAAACACAACATGATCATCACTGTTTGATTCCAGTCTGAAATGTGTTTTTTTTTCTCTGCAGAGTGAGCGGTGAGGAGGTGTACGGCCTGACCCTCCCTCTGGTGACCAGCACTGTGGGGGACAAGCTGGGGAAGACCGCCGGCAACGCAGTGTGGCTCAACAGAAACAAGACGTCTCCCTTCGAACTCTACCAGTTCTTAGTCAGGCAGCCAGACGCCATCGTGAAACAGTAGGTGAAGATTAAGCCTGTTGCACAGTGGTGGAAGGAGCAATATGTACCACTTAAATACAGTACTTGGTTGTTTTGGCTTATGAATATTTTGCTTTGTTATTGCAGTTACCTGAAGCTGTTCACCTTCCTGCCTCTGGCGGAGGTGGAGAGGGTGATGGAGCAGCAGAGAGAGGATCCAGAGAAACGCCTCGCACATAAACGTCTGGCCGCAGAGGTGACCAAACTGGTGCATGGGAAGGAAGGCCTCGAGAGTGCAAAGAGGTGAGAACACGCTATATGTGCTTTTCCTGTATTTGGTATTTAATGCTCTTTTATTTATGTTACTTTCTACATTCTAATATAATTCACTGCATTTTGCCATATTGTCATATTTTCATTGTCCTAAGTGTTTTAGTTTTTAAGGTTCTTTGTTTATTTAAATGTATATTTAGTGTAAATACCTGTCTTAAGTATTCTTTTTTTTTTAATGCTAAATAATTTCTTAAATACTTATTTTTTATTATCCTTATACATTTATTTTTGTACCTACTATTCAGGGTTCGTACGGGTGCTTGAAATCCTTGAAAATGCTTGAAATTTGACATGGTGTTTTCAAGGTTGGGAAAGTGCTTGAATTTTGGGAATGGTGCTTGAAATTGAGATAAAGTGCTTGAAAATGTAAATGCTTTACTTTTACAATAAATTGCTGTCTGACTGAATAGTTCACTTTTTAAATTAAAAGAAAATAGTTGCTTCGCTTCTACATAAAACAGCTCCGCTGCACCTTCCCGCGCTATGCCCGCGACCTGCAAGTGTTTGTGTTACGTGTGACCTGGGCATTCTGATGAGAGTGATAGATGACTGTGTGCCAAGAGGTTGCCGTTTCAACGAGCGTTGGCTAGCAGAAGACAAATACAAGCCATGGCTAAGACGAGGGTCAAGCCCACGAGTAGCCTCCTGCAAAGTTTGCAAGAATAACGATGCGAGAGTCTGCGCTGACGAGCCACATGAAAGGTACGCCGTAGAAGAGCATTTTAGATTAGGCTAACGTTGCATGTTACGTTTGTTGAAGCTAACGTTAGCGAGCTGAATAGCGAACTCGATGAGGGATAATAATAATTGCAGGGGACAATCATTTCAGAGGAGCGTACCTATGTTAATATGTGCGTTACAGTCACCATCCTGTGGTGTTCAGAGGATGAAGCACTCACGGCATTTCGTGTTATAGTCACGGAATATAATCTATTGATTCGACACCGAGCGATTTTGAAAGCAATGTATTTCTACTGGTAGTATGTTTCGTGCCTCAACCAAATGTGACTTGCTCTCTCGAAATCAGTCACATTGACCTGAAGACACATTTTCGTTTGTATTACTGGTCTGGGGGAAGCTCGCGAGTGTGTTTGTGTATTTTTGCGTTTGTTTCCATGGGAAACACTCACAAGAAACACCAGCTGTTGTTATGCTTGCTGTGACGTTACATTAGTCCGTTCTCTGCTTGTAATTATGCCGAATCTTCAAAGTTGTTTTTATCATCTGAATTTGCCGAAACAAGTTTAATATTCTGAAAGCCAAGATGAAAACAAACTGTCTTTTATATAAAATTGAAGTATTATACAAGTAAAACTACATGTTGCTTTAATCCCATGTAATTGTAGAATGAACACAGTCTTCCTTTGAAGATGTATAAGTCAGGTGTCTTGAGCAGTCAAAATTACCTAGTACAAATCATTGTACACATTTGTAAATATTATTTTCCACTTGTTACCATTGTGAGTCTATTTTTATGCAGCTCTGCGTGATTTTGTGGCTACAATTCAGACTAATACACTACCAGAGGTGAAATAAGTACTCAGGTATTGTACTTGAGTAAAAGTAGAAGTACTCAGATCTTGTACTTAGCAAAAGTAGAAGTACCAGAGTGTAGGAATACTCTGTCACAGTAAAAGTCCTGCATTCAAAATATTCCTCAAGTGAAAGTAGAAAAGTATTCTCATCCAAATATAGTGAAAATAGCGACAGTAAAAGTAGTCATTGTGCAGATTGGTCCATTTCAGAATAATATATATGATATGTTTTATAATGATTGATCATGAAAGTGTTCTCAAAGCTGGTAAAGGTGCAGCTAGTTTGAAGGACTTTGTATACTGCAGGGTAGCTTGTGAATTTACTCCAGGTGGAACTAAAGATTTAACACTTGATTAGATTTCACATCATTCATCCAGATCTGTAAAGTAACTAAAGGTATTAAATACATGTAGAGGAGGAAAAGTACACCATGTACCTCTGAACTGTAGTGGAGTAGAAGTACACCATGTACCTCTGAATTGTAGAGGAGTAGAAGTACACCATGTACCTCTGAACTGTAGTGGAGTAGAAGTACACCATGTACCTCTGAACTGTAGTGGAGTAGAAGTACACCATGTACCTCTGAACTGTAGTGGAGTAGAAGTACACCATGTACCTCTGACTTGTGTTTACTGCCAACCTAAAAGTACCTCAAAAATAGTAATCAATAATGTATTGAAAAGTTATTTGGCTGATTGTTTTATATTGGCTCAGACAGGTTATATGGGACATACAGATGGGTCACTCATTTTGAAATATTAAACTTAGTTTTCTTTTCTTTAATTTTTCATCCTCGTGTAGAAGGCTATCACGAAACACACATTTGGTTGTTTATAGCATAAAGAACATCTGATTTAATATGAGGTAGGGAAATAATCATTTGAGTATGTGTATATAAATATGTAATTTACAACAGCTGTAAGATGCTTGAAAAGCTGGAAAATGCACCTTGAAAATGCTTGAAAAGTGCTTGAATTTGACTTTGGAAAAGGTGTAAGAACCCTGACTATTGCAACTTATTTTCTCAGATTGTTTATGTTCGCACAACCAGATACCAAATCAAATTCCTTGTATGTGTAAACGTACCTGGCAATAAACTTGATTCTGGTTCTGATACATACTTTCTTTGAATTGGGTTTAAGGGAGCAGCAACTCATTCAGTTTGAGAATAAAAAGGTATAACTGAATGATCTGCACTAAAGTCACTCTTCTGTGATTGCCCCATGACCTCTGACCTCCTTGCAGAGGGTTAATCCTCAGACAAGAAAAGTTATATTGTATATTCTTTTTCCAGATGTACAAACGCGCTGTACCACAGCAGCGTGCAGGCTTTGGAGGAAATGAGTGACGAGGAGCTTCAGGAGCTCTTCAGGGAGGCTCCCTTCCACGAGCTGCTGTTGGAGCCGGGAACCACGGTCATAGACGCCTGTCGCAGCATCAACGCCATCCCAGAGGGACCCAGAGGGTAGGTTGTCCTGTTCTAAACCAACGAAAGCTATCTGATATCATAATCTGGAGCTTAAATCATCTCACAATATTTTGGGGTCAGCTCTGGTTGAGGAAAGCGACTATAGCACAGTGTTTGGTTAAAGGTCCAGTTTGTAGGATTAAGCTGCACTTAAGAGTGAGGGTTTCAGAAAGCAACCAACTAAACAACTTTCCCTTTCAAGCATGTAGAGAACTACAGAGACGTTCTGGGGCCTCATTTATAAAGGGATATACGCTCAAAAAATGGCGTACGCCAGTTTCTACCCAATTATTGTGATTTATAAAATACTAATTTGACGGGAAAATGTGCGGTCCTCCGCGCAAACTCTAACCCATGCGACGCACTAAGCACAAAAACGGGAGAGACGAGAAACTGCGACACCGTTGGCAGAAGGAAGAATGGAGAGAAATGTGTGGAAATAATACCATAACTAAAATGTTACCTCTCATTTATCATATATGAAGAATTCATTTTCAAACATTGATTAACCTGTTAAGCCCTACGGGGGCCTCCCGCAACATCTTGCAGGAAACAGTGTCTGAGGGCATGTTCATTTACTAAAGAATATTTGGACGGACACTATAATTTACAGTTTTTTACTATGTTCAATCTGAATTTTCTTTAAAATAAAAAACATCTATATTGATTCTGATTTTTCTACATCCAACTCACAGGTTTATCATTACTTTGAGAAAAAAGATTATTAATTGAACCCTTTTAGAAGGGAAGATATCGAGCCTGAGACCTGAAAAACAGGCTCGGGGCTAAACTGATTAAAGCCAATCTTAAAATGATTAAACAAACGCCTGTTTGCGACTCCTCAGTGCACACAAAAACATAACTTGGAGAAATAAATAAATACGGATATGTTATTTAAAACCACCTCGAATATGTTGTGTTAATGTTATGAAATGTTTTCTCATAAATGATGCGGTAAGCAGGAGGACAGAATTACGTCTAAACTGACGCCGTTTTGCATTTCTATAGGTTGTAGATACGAGCATGGTTTTATATACTGTCACGTTTAATCGTGTTTTATGCCGTTTGCCAAGACTTGATAAGTCGCTCGTAAAACACAGGAGGTATGGAAACTAAGAACACCATATGTGGTCAATTGTACAGCTAATATAACAACACATTAGTTGTATTTCCTTTAACTGGTGGATTATGGATATATAGTTGCTGATCGACAACTGGGACACAAACCACCAAATACAAAACATAATTCAGATCCAGTCGTCATGACTCCACTCCGGAGAGATTCCCGATCACTTCTTACAATTTCTCATCAACGGGGGGTCTCCTGTCCCCGGTGCAAACACACTGCCTGAGGAAGGCTATGTGTATTTTTTTTGTCATTAACCTTTTTCGGATCACTTATTTATTTATTTTGGTGACGATCCGACCTCCATGCTGCTACTCTGGTTCAAACTGCATCCACCAAACAATATATTTATCTCGACCTCCTCAAAATAACCAAAATCTGACACGGTGTGAGATGTATTTTTTAGCTGTTCTGTCGTCATTTCCTGCGATCTTCTTCATGCAGTCAGTCTGAATGAATGGGCGTTTCTTTGACTATTTATAGGCAAATATGGGCGTTACGTGAAGCCCGCAAAAGCTGCGCCGCATTTCGAGTCGATTGTGATTTATAAAAGAAAACCGGCGTAAGAAGTGCCGTACGCACTTTCCTCGCCGGTACGCAATGTTTGGTGAATCGTAAAATGTCGGAACATTTCTGTACCTATTTTTTTGCTTTGTACTACGTAAGCAACCTTCCCACGTGAATCCTACGCACGGCGTTATAAATGAGGCCCCTGGAGTTAATTGCTTAACTCTATGATCAACAGTACCAACTACGATCTTTAAAAAAAAATGTAGGCAACACAATTTCATCAATAGTCAAAATGCACCTTATTGTCTAAGACTATATAATGGAATACTTTACTATGACTTTTTTTCAGCATGCTATATTCAAACTAAATATATACAATTGATACATATATAAATGATGTGAAACAAAGAAGAGCATCACTTATTATCTAGCGTAAACTGCGCACTAACTTGACTGTTTTAATTGTTTGTGTGCAGGTATCAAATGGTTTTGGCGGGAGCCGTGTCGATCAACCACATGTGTGCGGACAAACCAGAGCAGGTGCTGATCCCCAAACTCCATATCTTATCAAATGGACTTTCCTTGCTCAAAGTGGGCAAGAAGAACTTCTACATCATCAAGTGGCTCAGTCTCTGAGGCTGTCACGCTGCTCTCACACAGGACCAGTTTGACCTTACCTTTGATGGACTGATTGGGAAGGTAGGCGACTCTACCTCTGCAAGATCAGTCATGATGTGGATGGATTCATATTTTGGGACATTCTTGTTTTTTTTGGCTTGAAACCTTGAGTTAGGCCAATTATTGTCATAAATATGTATATGTACAGACATATCTAAAGCTATGGTATTAAAAAGCGTTTGATATAAAGATTGTGGCCTGGTGACTTTCTACTGCTGCTAAAGAGATTTTGGAAAGTGAACACTAGAGGGAGGCATTGTCCAAGTCATAATGGTGATATTACCCACAGCTGCGCTTCTTCCCCTGCTGCGACCCAACAGGTAATTAATAGCTCACGGTAAAAATGTAAGTTGCATAATTTCTCGCAAACAGTTTATAGTTCTATTTTAGGCTTATCTTGTTTTTTCAGCTTGATGTGAACATGAGGTCCACATGTCTCTTATTGTGGCTGATCTGTCTGTCTTACTGGTCGAAGGTGTAAACTGTAGCACAAAGAAAAGAATGAGGATTTGGATAAATTCCCCAAAAAACACACCCAGTTTGAAGATTGTTTTGAGAATCCAAAAATGTGATAATTATATTATTTAAAAAAAAAAAATGTCAAGGGTTTGGCATTTCCTTTTTCCCTGCAGTACAGTTTTCGCTGTGGTGTAAATAACTCGTACTATCAGCATGCAGGGCCTTTGCCTGTCGTCCTTTGTTTTTTTTCTTGCCTTTGCAGACTATTGAATTGGAAAAATATTTTCATGGCTCTCTAGTTCTTGTACATCTGTTCTTCACTTTTCTCCTGGGGGCCGGTGGAGATGAGGACGGACTCTGGTGTGTGCTGACCTTGACTCTCAGCTCCAGAGAATTGGTGGGAATACCATATCATAAGGAAACCCTTTTACCCAGTTTGCAGATTTTTTTAATACATGCTGGGCATTGTTGGATTGTTCGTGGATGGATGGAGCGGGGTTATACCTTCCTCAACATAGACCACTTACACCTTAGCTGTCCAGAATCAGTTATATCTCTCTCTCTCTATATATAATTGTTTTTCTGATTTGTATATGTATTTAAGATATTTAAAAAATGTATTGCAGTTTAATTAAAGAAATTAGGCCTTAGATGTATGAAAGGAATAAGGTAATTTAAATTGAAAAACAAAGTTGTCATATAATGTCTAAAACTGTTGTGATTTATTTTGAAAATTCCATTGTGCTATATTATGTAAATATTTAAATCTAAGCCAAAGTCAGCTTTTAGAATTGTTTCTTATTTGGTCACTTGCATAGAAAACGTGTTAACTGATGAACAACTATTCTTATTGGTCCAAAAGGCAAATGCAACGTGTATTTTTTTGAGAGTGTCAAATGTTTAATTTAGAGGTTATGTTGCAACTGTTTTCACCGTAACAATTTATTTTAAACATATTTTTCAAAACCGTCTTAAGTGTGGAGATGAGAACAACGTTGATTTCGGTGTAGCATCCAGACGTGCTGAACGTTAGAGCCTGGTGCAACTAGCTGTTCCCCCTTAAGAGACGGGGCGGGCTTAAGCGCCTCGACCAATGAGCGACCTTCTTTGCGTTTAAATAGCTCTGTTTGTCAATCTTTTTTTTTTCCTCCCCCTTTAGTCAATCTCCACTCAGATCCCAAGTACATCTCTCAATCGCCATATTGGGTACTGAGGTTCGTCCACAGTTCCTCTCACTACGGGATCAGACTGACAGAGAGGCTTCAGTTCCTGGGCACTTTATTTTGATGAACCGTGGAGACTACTTTCGGCTTGAAAACACCGCGACCGTTACCGTTTCCAGCCCGACGAATGCATGGTATAAGTCGTTTTACGCTTGTTTTGGAGCCTGTTCAACCTACGAGGAGATACCCGTTGTTTTTGAGTGTGTTGTGAAAACTGTACGGCTATTTGTTAAAAAAAAAAATAGTCTTTCTTTTGGGGGAAAATGTCAGATGTTCGACTATCAAACGGGAGCCCGACGCTGGAGCGGACGGACTCCCGGGTGTCGGATCACCCGAAACCGTCCGCCTGCAGAAGCCTCTTCGGCTCGCTGGATCACGAAGAGTTAAAGAGGGATTTAAAGGGACACTTGCGGGAGATGGAAGAGGCTGCCACCGCCAAGTGGGGCTTCGACTTCTCTAATCACACGCCGCTGTCTCACGGCAGGCTTGAGTGGGAGGTAGTGGATAGCAGAGACGTGCCGAGTTTCTACAACCGGCAGCCGCGGAGGGAGAAGAGCGTCTGCTCCGCCGGGAATAATGTGGATCTAAACGGGAACCATCACTGTGTTGTGGTGCCCGAAGACACGGACAGGGCGGACGGGCAGATGGAGTGCACGGAGCAGTGCACCGGGCTGAGGAAAAGACCTGCATGCCACGGTACTTAATTTGCACCAAAATTACTCATATTTTCACCGCTGTGTGTTAATTAGTCTGGCTGGTGCGCTATGCAACGGATCGATCACAGTGGGGGTATGTCGCCCATCAGGCTTAAAAGCACTAGGGAATTTTTTTTTGTATTATCTTATAAAATGCAGCATCATGGGAAATGGTGGGCTAGCATGCAGAAGTTCAGTTACATTGGACATCATTTTATTTTTGTATGCGTTTTCAGTAGTTTTCACTGATTTTTCCCTTTGCCTTTGCAGAGCCCTCGGCCCAGAATAAGAGGTCACACAGCAGCTCAGAGGAGGTTACTTGTCCAAGTCTGAGCCACTCGACAGAAAAAACACCCAGAAAAACCAGTCCCAAGAGGCAAACGTGAAGACCAGAAACGGTAAGAATTACATTTTATGCAACCTAGACATAACGGGCTTCTCCTGTAACAATAGTTGGTTCTTTATGAGCGTCAGTGTAGACAAGACTAACGTAGCATCCCCCTCTTCCAGCTGTTTGTTTGAAAGAAAATGCTGTGAAAATTGTATTTTTTTTTTATGGAATACGCTGTTTTTCCTTAATGCAAGTTATTTTGCATTTAGATGGAATAATATTCACATTTGGATTTAAGCGAGTGTGCAGCTTTGACATGCAACGTAGACATGCAACGTACTGTCAGGCTCCTCCATTCATATAGTAGGCTAGTAATAGTGTGTTGGTGTGAGTAAAAGTGGTTACGGCAGCAGGTAGACTTTCAGTTGTATTTCTGCACTCAAACCTCTTTCGATTTACTATAATCTATGCAAGAGGGGTTCTGAGTAAGACCAGGAAAGCTGTGGCTGCACATTTTCACTTCTTTACTACAAGCTGTGCGTGCCACGGCGAGCCTGAGTCTCCCTCTGAACTGTAAACAACAAGTGCTGAACAACAGTGTAGTAGTAACACGTCAGCAGCCACTGCCCTCGGCGCAGGGACGGGACGGGAAGGGGCTGGTCTCTGTGAGTGTGTATGTGTGAGTGCTGCACACACTTTGCACACTAATGTTACAACACACACACACATCTGTCTCTGTCGTTAGAGAGTGTGCAGAAGAGCCGTGCAGCTCTGAAAACAAGTGCGCGTGTTGGTCACGGCAGAGGGAGGATAGGCATGAGATATGTATTGTAGTGGCAGGATTGAAGTAGGCAAAGCAGAAGAGCAGTACACCCAAGTCTCCTTTTGTAGTGTATTTTATATTTGTGAAAACTGGGGAAGTCTTTTTAAGGTAGCACTGAAATACAAAACATGTTTCTGATGAAGAAAATTAAACACAAGTTTGTTACATTTTTCTTTACATGAATGCGTTTTCCATTATGGTGGCAACCTTCTTAAAAATCCTATACATTACTAAGCGTAGAAGACAGTGCAAGTGCTGATCTGTAATCACACCTGTTATTTTTAAACCTGTAAGATATTTGCATAAAGTCAAATTAATGAGCAAACAGAAACATTGCATTAATTCAGCCAATGGAAATTGTAGTGCATTTATGGATACCGTTTTGTTGCTTTCAAGTTATACCTCCAGCAAATAGGAAAGCTCCATGTTTTTTATTTCTCAAACTGCCCTGTTCTCTCAATTCTCACTCATGTGCAAAGGTTTTCTGCAAGCGTTGCATGAAGCAGTTTGTCTCGACCGTACAGCCTCTTACTTTTCTCTTATTCGATTTTCCCCACAGAGCCGAAGATGTATTTCCCCTTTGACGTGGGAAACCTCAGTGTTGGCCGACTTTGGAAGAGGAACTACACAGCATCAGAAACATATCAGCTCTCCAGAAGACGGGGGAGGACGCTGTTGAAGCACTGAATAGAAACACTAAAGTTGTGGCACTCAATTAAAAAAAAGTTACTGCCTCTAAAAGCAGTCAATGTAGCAGTGTGCAATTAGGTTTGATTTCCTTTTTTGCTCCTTTTTTTTTTACTACCTGTGTGTAAATAAATATACATATTATATTATATTTCTCTCCATATGTAGCACATACGAAAACATTATGATTTGAACACAAATCCTTTATGTAAAAAGGTGTGAATTTTGATTTGACTTGAAGAATTGCAGTGTAGTTTGATAACGTGTTTCCAAAATGCTGTTATATTTTTTTTGTTATTTTATTTTCTGAAAAGCAGTGTGACTTGGACAAAGTCCCTAATTGCTACAACTTAAAGAAAATCATGGATTCTTATCAGTGTATCTTCACTCCGTCATCTTCCTAACTCAGCTGTGAAGAACGGTACAAATGTAGCTCATTGTTTTGTATGTGTCCTCACTCTTCAGTGTCACGTAGTGCAGAGTCTCATAGTATCCATTTCCCCTGGAAAACAACACAGGAAAAAAAATGTACCGTGTCTTAGGACTTCCTTATGATCACCCCATTATTTATTTTGTGAACGGTGCTTTTAGCATCAGTTAAATCCTGGAATATGACCTGTTTCTCTCCTGCACACCTCAGCCACATTGTAATGGTGTTTGATTTATTGAGGTACTCGGATATTGAAGGACAAAGACCGTACCGAGAGGATGACTTTACAACACAAGCTGTGCAGTGTGCACAGCTTGTGTTGTAAAGTCATCCTCTCCCCAACAATATATTTGACTCTTGCTTCATCAGCCTTAATGCTCTTCAGAGAGGAGGTTTGAATGTCCTACAATACCAAATACATGGTTGCTTCAGCCTGTGCTCCTTAATCGACTTCACATTTTTTTGTGATAACTTGTACTTCAATTTTCATTTGTAATTATTTCACCAATGTTGTTAGCCTGCTGAGGATGCCAATGTGAGCGTCTAAAAGCTTCCCTTATTTGCCTAAAGTGTGGGTTATATGCAAAGAGACCAGTGTACACCTGGATAGAGAGCTCAGCTCGTATCTGAAATGCAGTCACCATGCCTGTGTAAATCTTTGCAATGTACCTTTTGTACATAATTTTGTAAAAACACTGAGAAATTATACTAACTTATTTATGTCAAGCTTTTTTTTATGTAGAATAAAAATGGGTTTTTGATTACGGTTATCCAAAGTGGCATTTACTTTATATTTGTCTTATTTTGTAAAAGCATATTTTTGGTAGTTTTGTTTTCTTATCAACAAGGTTGCAAACTGAGCCTGATAAAATATTTGATGTGCATTTTGTAATGTGTGGTTATAAAATGTGTTGCAATCAATTAAAAGAGAAAATTAAATCTGACTTGTTGCTTTTTACACTTGGTGTAATTACACCCTGGAATGCGTACACACACCGTTTGGTTTTATCTATTAAACCTTCTTATTCCCCAAGCTAAACCTAATAAAATAACTGCAGAACATTTAAAAACAACCTTTTATCACTGTTAAAGTCCAAAACACACTTGAAAGTTCTTGCAGGCATCCTGATGAATGTAATGACACTCCCTAATATGAATCCACAAGCGTTTTTGTGCTGACTGATGATTGACACTTTGGTCATCCAATGAAAAGGAGTGTGGAAAGCAGACCACTTGTTGCAGCCAGTCACATTCAGTAACTTATCATGGGAATGGCTTTCATGTAAAAAAAAAAATGTTAGTGCGTTTAGCTCAGAATACGATCCTAAACTGTTGGGGGAAATACGGCAACTATTTTATTTTTTTAGTAGCTTCAGTATTTCTGTCAGTGTGTGTTTTGGCATTTGTGTGTGTGTCTACACAAGTGAGTGTGTGAGAGAACAGTGTGTTTTCACTTATGATTCTCTTTGGTTTGTTTTAAACTATAGTACATGTTCATCTAAATCTTACATAATTTCTGCTATTAATAAGGTTGTGACATTATTTATATTTTATTGGAAAAATACACATCTTTGCAAAATGTGCTATGAGTAGTGTTGACACTGAATTCAACTTTGGAAGTGTATTTTTTGAAATCCTTTTTAAAAAAAAAAAATGAATTCATGATTTAAATCTCATAAAATGTTCGATAATTATTGATTATATTTTTTCCCAGGTATTTAGCGATGGGATCCTGTTTTGGATCAATTAAAAATATTAAATGGTAGCCTACCGTAACACACACACACACACACACACACACACACACACACACACACACACACACACACACACACACACACACACACACACACACACACACACACACACACACACACACACACACACACACACACACACACACACACACACACACACACACACACACACACACACACACACACACACGTTATGTATATGGTTATTTTAGGCATTTAATATTTTCATTTATCCAATATATATATCCTATAACCAATCAGAAAGCAAAGTGTTGCAACACGCATGGGCAAAAGACAAACCCAACAGAGAATCTCCCCCTCACTGCCTAACCAACATTTTACTAATCTCACCTAGTCTTCATGTGGCCTGGGTAATTACGCACTGGAACCCGGCGGAGTTGTGGAGCGACCTGCACGCAGGCAACACCACAAAATCACGCGGACGTGCCCCCGAGACAGCTGTCCGAAAACAGCTGACACTAACCACGTCGCCACAACACTTTGAAAAAAACAAACAGACGCAACCCAAGGGGAAACACCACTTATGCCTAGCGGGGAAATCCCTTTACAAAAGCGTTTCAAACAGCAACATCTTACCCTCTGATTGGCACACAAAACCTGACGCCATGTCAAACACTAAGGCTTCCTGAAACACAAAAGACATGATGTGTCCCCCAAATAGCAGCGCCAAGCCAGCACACAGCTGGATCACATAAACTGATCAGCTGCTCAATGACACCATGTGCTCTGAGCACTACACAAACTTTTAACCAAACTTTCTACAAATAACCCATAGGATGAGCCCCCATTTGTTATGACCTGGCTCAAAAGGCCACAACAAAGAGGAAACACACCATATCCACGTTTAACAAAATATATTTAAACAAAACATTAAAATTAATTAAGTGCAAAACAAGTAAAGTATGAGGTGTGGATGTCAGTGGTATCAGTAGTGTAAATGCAGGGTGAGGATTGTATGGGCATGTATGAGTGTGAGAGTGTTGAAGTGCACAAAGTGAATCAACTGAAGAAACTCATAGCATACTCAACAAAACCGGGGTGCCTGCAGAGAGGAGCAGAGGCTTTAAATAACTGCAGGGCACCAGACCCAGGTGCCCTGCCCGAGTTACTACAATAAAGGCAATCAAGGAGGCTGGATGCAGCACACACAGCCACACCCTCTCCAGATGAACCCACAGGGGCATCACATGACTTAAATGCTTCAAAACAACTAAATGTTTATTGTAATGAAACTTCTAATATTGTTTTATTTTACAAAAAACATATTGTCATTGTGAGTGATGTGTGGCAGCAGCAGAGCCCTAATCCGTGACTAGACGCTCTTTGACCCGAGGTAACTTTACTACACATGTGTCTGACTCTCTGTCATGGCACATCTTCTGCTGTAGAACCAAATTATTGCTCTCACCGCACGGCATCTCCATGCTTCGTCCTCCTGCCACAGACACAGGAAGACAACTGCAGCAGTGTGTGTGTGTGTGGGGGGGGGGGGGTCCGGTCCTGAAGTGTGCAGGTGGGTAACCTCAGCTCAGCCATCCACCCCCACTCTGAGTCCAACCCATTGTCCCAGTGTGTGGGCTTTTGTGTGGAGGGCCATTGTGAGGGGCCAGGGCCGGCCACTGTTGTGTCTGGGGCTTCTCTGCCCAGACAAAGGGCCCGTCTAGGAGCCTCCACCCTGCCCAAACAGAGGCTGACTGACTGACTGACTGACTGACTTGGTGGCTGACTTGGTGGCTGTTGGATTAACTGAGTGATTGGCTGGAGTGTGTGTGTGTGTGTTTGTGTGTGTGTTTGTGTGTGTGTGTGTGTGTGTGTGTGTGTGTGTGTGTATGTGTCAGCCAATCATCAGTCCTCAAACTACACCATTGTTAACTGTTTTGAATATTTTGAAGCTCCTAATGCATATTTTTTGTAATAACAGGTTATTGCATCTTTGCTTTTTAATGTAGTATTTTTAATGTTTTTATAACAATTAATATTATTATATTTTCAATTGATAAGGTATTTTTGAAAACATAAACACTAAATCGAAGCATATTGTTGTGGTGAGTGTGAAAATGTTGGCTGCCCAATGGTTAAACATTTTGTTATCAAATGACAAAACTAAATTAATTGAAATAAAGCGCTTGATAGACAAGTGTAAAACTTCCCTCCAAAAATGCAGTTGCTGAGTGGTGTGTGTGTTTTTGCATGTGTGTGTGTTTTTGCATGTGTGTGTGTGTGTGTGTGTGTTTTTGCATGTGTGTGTGTCATTTAGTTAGAGCATTGCAGAGGGCAAACTGGTTTCTTCTCTTTAGTGAGACCCTTTACAGCAATGAGAGGTGTGTAAAAAACCTTTTTTATTATGTGGAATATTTTGAAACATGGGGATTTCTTGTATTTCTTCATACAATGGGACATCATATCTCACCACACACACAGTGACAAAATGTTCTGTTGTTTTTTTAAGCCTGACACATTTTCTTTGTGAAATACACATTTAGAAAAAGGGTATAGCTTCTAGAAATGTTAGGCTTTGGCAGTCTTGTCAACAGCACCACTTAATCATATCTCTCTGTCCTGCGTACAACCTCTTGCCAGATAATGTCTCATCATGCCATGTAATTTCTCTCTAAAAGGCTCATCAGCACTGAGTCTTTGCGGAATAGCTCCTCGGAGACTATGTCTGCCGAAACTAAACTGTTACTTGTGAGCATTGCACAAATGACCACAGATAACAAGGTCAGTTATTCAGAAGGGCAGAGATAAGACTTCCTGTGGCTACAATGATGCAACAGTATCTGTGCTTGCAAACACCTTTTCAGTTACAGCAGGAATGTCCCTGAAAGCATTCCTGTAACAGTCCCACACGCCACCCAAACAAAACCACATTGAACTCGAGGAAATACCAGTAAGCCAGTCAATCAGAGAGGTGGAAAGCATCGCGGCGTGTTCCTCTCTGCCACATCTTGAATGTGCCAAGTATTCACACTTCCTTGCTATATCAACATAAACAGGTTATCTTTTCCTGTTAACCACCCGACACTTAATAATGTCACAAGTTCCTCCCCATGTTTCCTGCCCAGGCCACAACCCACGTCATCCAGTTATTCCCTTGGCACCTCAGGCTCTGTGAGGCCAAAGCAAGTGCCCACAAACAAACACCTTACTTCCCTCTCACTCTGTCTTTTTCTCTGTTTTGTATTCACCAACGTGCCCCTAAAAGCCTGTGAGCAGGGCGAATTCAATCTCAATAACTGTATTTCTGTTTTCTGAGTGTTTTTTTTTAATAAAAACATGCTTTTTATAAATGTCCTCAAACTTTATTTAAGGTTGCAATACTTTCATATGCTATTTATGTCACTACATTTTACTTAAATTGCTGCTACACATTTCTTAGCCATGATTAGGTACTTATTTGTCTTTATTTTAATTTCATCGCCAATGTCTGCTTTTCATTTTATTATTACTTGTTTTTTACCAGCTATGCCACTTTTGCTTTAACACTGTAAATGTCCCCGCTGTGGGACTAT